AAAGAGAGAGACAAATCAGGGGTTGCATTCTTTGGTATAGATATATACCACAAAATTAGGCCAGGCAAACCACAAAACAACAAAAAGCAACAACAACCTCTGTGATGGTGAATCTGTGTTCAGAGTTGCTAGAATATAACATTGAAAATGTCCATTTTTCAACTAGCAATTACAAAATATGCAAAGAAATAAGAAGGCATAACCCATGAGAAAGCAGTCAATAGACACTTCCTCTGGATGGACTATTAAGGTCGATCTTAGCAGAAAAAGCCTTCAATGTAGCTACTGTATATGTGTTCAAAGATCTAAAGAAAACCATATTTAAGAATTAGCCAGAAGGTAGATCAATAAAAATTAATCAAGTAAAGAAAAAAGGACACAAGAATTTTTTTTTAAAGAGTGTTATAGGAAAAAGGGGGACATTTTAAAATTACCCTGTATATGTCAACAAATCAAGAAGATAAAACAAGTATTAAACTATCACATCTAACAACAGATCCACAAAATAAATGAAGCAAAAACGAAATTTAAGCAAGAAACAGACAACATTCATAGTTGGCAATTTGCATACATCTTACTCAGTTTATACAGCTGAAAAGATTACGAGTTAGCAAGGATATGGTAGACTCAAATTCCATCAATGTGACCTAACTGAAGTCACAGTAACCCTCTACCTAACAGTAAAACAATACATAGGATTTTCAGTTGGGCATCTACATTCTCCAAGATAGACCTGTGTATTCAAACACTCTGTAATATGTTTAAAAGAACTGAAATCATTTAAGATGTTTTAAAAATGAGAAGAATTTAGAAATTAAGAACAAATAAATATGGGAAATCCATTAATGTGGGGAATAAACAAACACATGTTGACCAAATAAGAAATCACAAGAGAAGTCAGAAAATATTTTGAACTAAATAAAAGAAAAAGAGACATATCCACATTTATGGAATGTAATATAAACTATAAAGTATAACAGAATATAAACCATATTCACAAACTTTTAGCTAATCTGACCAAAAAATAAAAGAGAAGACTCAAATTACAAAAAGGAAGCCTGAAAGAGGCTCCACTATTCACAGTTATCACTCTTGACAGTACAGAAAGTAAAAGGATTATAGTGAATTCCCTTGAACAGCTTTATGGCAACAAACTATACAAATTATATTAAATGGAAAAAAACCAAATTTATAAAATGGGAAAATGTTTATAAGACAAAATTTACCAAAGCTTCAAGAATAAATGTAAAATATTAATAGACCTATTACCAATAAGGAAATATAATTAATAAATAAGAAAACTTCTTACAAGGGAAAGAAAGCCCAGACTCAAATGGCCATACTAATTAATACCACCAACCATTTAAAGGAAACAAAATAATTTTTCACAAACTACTAGAACACAGATGAGCAAACACTTCTGAACTCCCTCTGTGAAGCCCGTATTACCCTAGTAACATATATATATATATATATATATATATATATACACACACATATATATTATATATATTAACATATACACATAAACATATATAAACACATATATACATATATATAATCTCTACCAAACATTAACAATATAAATACAACAAAATATTTTTTAAAATTCAACATCCACGACCAATTGGGATTTACTCCAGCAATAAAATGGTTATGTAACACTTGAAAATCAGCCAGTATCAGGTCCTGTACTAGAGCAAGCTGAGTGCAGAGCATGCTGATTCTAAAGTACCCAACCTTGCATGACCCTGCAGCAATCTCAGAGTTTGAGCCCAAGTGCTTCGTCTAATTTACCCCAGCCCAGGCTCTAATCATTATTTTATACTTTATTAATAGAATGAAAGACAAAGCCAAATAATAATCCTGACAGATGTGAGAGAAGGACCAGAGAAAATCCAACACCACGTGAAAAAAAGAACTGTCAGCAGTCTAAGAATAGAAGGAAACTTCCTCAATAATCCAACCTGAAAAAGGGCATCTATAAAAAGCCACAGCTAAAACCATACAGAAAAATTCTGCCAGAATTGTAATTCAGTTTAGCAAGGCTACAGATCACAAGATCAATATATAAAAAGCAATCATAATTTTTAATACTGTCAACAATCAGAAATTAAAATTCAAAATACCATGTACAAGAGCATTGCAAATATTAAATGTCTGAGGTGAATCTGAAAGATAACCAAGAACCTGTACACTAAAGCTATGAAACATTGAGAGAGAATTTAAAAGATTAATATGGTTAAGGTATCAATTTTCCTCAAAATTACCTAAGATTCAATGCCTTAGAAACAAAAGCATAGTGTTTTTTCATTGCTGTTGTTAATAGGCGGATTAAAAAATTCATATGGAAATGCAAAAGGACTACAGTAGACAACATAATTTATAAAAGTACAAAGTCAGATGACCAACAGTATTTGATTTCCATTTGAATCTTCTAGCTTGGAATATCAACTATATTTCTTTATATAATTTTTTTAGTGATCACCCTAGAATATTCGATATATATTTATAACTAACCAACATCCACTTTCAAATAATACTACGCCATATCATGAGTAATGCAGACACCTTATAATATTCTCAATTCCTCCTTTCCATTCTTTAGAAGATTGCCATCACTAATTTCATTATGGGCCACAATCACATAATGTATCTTCTTCAAGATAACTTGAAAAGTTATCTATTACATTAAAAATAGGAAAAATAAAAGATTTTACTTGCCCTCATTTACTCCTTCTGTGACACTCTTCTTATATGGATCTGTGTTTCTGACCTATGTACTTCTCCTTCTCCCTAAAAAACTTTTAACGTTTACTGCAGAATAGGTCTGGTAGTGATGAATTCCTTTAGATTTTGGTTGTCTGCTCTATTTCCCCTTCACATTTTTTAAAATTTAAGTTCAGTTAGCCAACACATAGTAGTATATCATTAGTCTCAGATATAGTGTTCAACAATTTATCAGTTGCATGTAACACCCTGTGTTCATCACATCACGTGGCCTCCTTAACGCCCATCACACAGTTACCCCATCCTGCCACCCACCTCCCCTCAAGCTACCCTGTTTGTTTCCTATAGACAAGAGTCTTTCATGGCTTTCCTCCCTCTCTGATGACTTCCCACCCCTTCACTTTTTCAGAATAACTTTGATATAGAAAGAATTTTAAGTTGGTGGTTTTTTTGATGTTTGGGGTTTTCTTGTTTCTAATTCCATATTTAAATATTTTACTTCACTCTCTCCTTGCTTGTATGGTTTCTGATAAAAAGTTTATTGCAATTCTTATCCATTGCCTCTATTAAGGAATGGTATTTTTTTAAAATCTGGTTTCTTTCAAGATTTTCTTTGTAGTCACTGTTTTCTGTAGTTTGAATATAATGTATTGCCTATCTATACTTTTGGATATTTATCCTCTTAGTGTTCCCTGAGCTTCTTGGATCTAAGGTTTGAATCTGCCATTTATTTTGGAATATTCTCTGACATTATTATTCAAGTATTTCTTCTGCATATTTTTAACATTCTTCTTCTTCTGATATGCCAATTATGTGTGCTACACCTTAGAAATTATCCCACAGTTCTTGAATAGACTTTTCTGCTTTACAGTCTTTTTTTCTCTTTGCATTTCAGATGGGGTGGTTCTATGGACATATTTTAAAGTTCACTGATTCTTTCCATGGCCATTTCAAGTCTACTGAGGAGCGCATCAAAGACCTTTTTTTATTTGTGTGAAAGCGTTTTTGGCTTCTTGTGTTTCATTTTAGCTCGTTTTTTGGAGTTTCCATCTCTGCTTACGGTACCCATCTGCCTTGCTTGCTGTCTACTTTTTTTTAGTTACTATTCTAGCATATTAAGTCATAGTACTTTTAATGTCCCTGTCTGGCAATTCCAAGATCTGCAGTATAGCTGCGTCTGGTTTGATGCTGGTTTTGTCTACTAAAACTGTATTTTTTCTTGCCTGTTAAACATGCCTTATAAATTATTGTTGAAAACTGGACATATGAATTAACAAAGAGCAAAATAAATACAATTTCAGTGTGAGATTCATGTTAATCTGGCAAGGAATCGGGCTATGTTTAATATTTGACATATTGAGAACTGCGAAAGCTTCAGATTTCTGTAGTGTCCTTCTTTTTGTCTCCCACGTGGTCTTTCAGTTTTTCTAAAAACACCCCCCTAAATATATCCTGTAGCTTGCAGCTCTTTTAGCTATAATTCAATGTTATTATGCTGGAGCCCTGTTGTGATGGTAAATAGTAGGTAATGGGTAGCAATCTGTAATCTTACTATTAAATCTCAGTGTTTTAGTAGAACTTGGTTCCTGGCTTGACCTTCACAAGTGTTTCCAAGCCTTCCACCTTCCTTCCCCTTATTTGAAACAGTTTGGCTAAGTTGGCCTGCAGCTGTAAAATTGTTCTCCCTCCAGGAGGGATAAGGCTCTGATAAAATGTTACCACCTCCCACTCTCTCAGAGTAGGCCTTTGTTTTGTGGAATTATCTACATGCATTTCAAAATGGTTACATTTCTCCTGCCCAGCCAGGAATAGGGATTTTTCTTGTTTCTTCACTATTAAAATTTAGTGGGTTCCTAAGGGTAAAATCTACAAAATTATGAAGGCCCATCTACTACTATAGCTTTCACCAGTTTGCCCAGCTCATGCTAATCCACCCTCAGCCTCCAGCAAGTCAACCAAAGTGACTATGTAAGTTGTCCTACCAGTTTATGGTTTCTGTACCTTCTACTCTAGGTAAGCCTATCTCTGATACGATTCTCTATACTTGCAGTCTCTCTAGAATTTGGAGTGTTCATGTGCCATGGGAATCACAAATTCTCCAATGAGTCTAAGAAAGTCACCAAATTTCAATTTAACCTCTTTTCTTGGTGTGAGCACAGGAGTGCTAATATCCAAGTTCTTCTCATACTGTAGCTGAAACCTGAAGTCACAGATGGATTTTTCTTCTTCAAAATTAAATCAGTGTTTTATTTTTCAACTTCTTAAAAAATTTTAATACGGAATGCTTCACAAATTTGCATGTCATCCTTACGCAAGAAGCTATGTTTATCTTCTGTGTTGTTCCAACTGTAGTATATGGGCTGCTGTGGCAAGCACGTGCTCTTTGTTTTATACAATTATGCTGTTTGGGTGAGTGGAGTTTAACAATTCACTTTGGTTGATGAACAGATGAGAGGTCAGAGGAGAAGAGTTTTCTGTGTTGCCGAAAGAGAAAAGAAGAAGGAAAGCTCATCAGGTGAAGGACTGGTGGAGACCGACTCGGCTGCTGATGAACTTACTTCTCTAAGGAGAAACACTGAGGATGCAATTGGAGATGCTCAGATTCGAAGTCAATAATGTGCAAAAAAGAGAAAATGAGAGGGTGATCTTCCTAATTCTTTTTTTTTTTTTAAGATTGTATTTATTTATTTGACAGAGATCACAAGTAGGCAGAGAGGCAGGGAAGCAGGCTCCCTGCTGAGCAGAGAGCCTGATGCAGGGGCTCGATCCCAGCACCCTGGGATCATGACCTGAGCCAAAGGCAGAGGCTTTAACCCACTGAGCCACCCAGGCGCCCCTTTCTACTTCTTTTAGTCCTGTAGAGTCTTTCATCAATGATTATACCTTCTGCATTGATTCCATTTTCACCATAAGCATCAGAATTTCTGATGGAAGCGAAGAGCATTTATGTAGCATCTGTATTGGAATTCATCAATAATACAGTTAGTAAAGGGGAGGAGAAAATGGCTACAGCAAAGTGGTGATTATTGCCAGATCTGGAGAGTTTTAGCACACATGTAACAGTGACTGGAGATTAGCATAAATAGATGTCTCAGCACGGGGCTGATTTCCTGTAACAGTAAATGAGACGAGAGACAATAAAATTTGTGCTGTAACTACTACTCTAAAATACTCACAGGCTGGCATGACTTGGAAAAATTTAAATTACGTATTTAAAATCTTTTTCAAGTGAACTTCTAAATAGAATCCAGTTTTATTTTGATATGTAAATGTTAGAACATGAGTTAAAAGAAAATGAAGGACATTAAATTATTCTTAAATGGAGCATCTGCATATGATACTGTTCTTAATTTCTTTGTCTGAATTTTCCAATATATACTCATAAATTCAAACTAAATGAAATTTTACTAATAGAAAATAGCTACACTTTTTTTAAATAATCAAAATATGACTTCTCATGACATGTTGATTTTATATTTGAGAGTTAAATGACATTTTTATCCTACAGTTCCTAATTTTAAGTAAGGAAGCAAATTAAGAATGAATATAGATACATAATTGTGTTTGCCATTCTCATAGGACAATTAGGAAAATGCCAGGAATTTTTTTTTTCCTGCTTGGTATTAATCACAAAACTTTAATTAAATAATATCCTGAGAATTCTAGTAACAGATGACTTTGTCCTTTAGAAGCCGCAGATGGGCGAATACTGGTATAAATTAGAATTACAAAGTTAAGTAAAAGATATGAAGAAACATTATTATCATAAAAATGAAGTGTCAAAACACATCTTAAACATTATTTTTCATCTATTTTCTCATTCTTTCCATTCTATCTCAATATTTGCCCTTTGCCTTCATGAAATGTTTTATGAAATTTGTAAGAATGTCTCAAATGTTTTGCTATTAGATGATTAAGGGTAAAATCCAATTAATTTTGTTTCTTAAATAATTAAATTTTTCACGGCTTAACTCTGAATTTTTATTGTAGAATTAAATACCAAATTTATTAAATTTTCTATTGCCAGTTTGAAGAAAATCAAGAGAAAAAATTATTGCCTTATGTATTGTATAGTCATTCTCAGAAGGAATTTTGCCTCTATTGAGTAAGAGCAATGACAGAGCTTAATATCCTTCTGTTTCTTTATACAAGATTTACTGTTCACTAAACAGAGTAATTACCACAGCAATTGTTAAAACACAAATATACCCAACACACGTTAATGAAGCACACAAAAAGGGAAAGGTATTGCTATTTATCTTTATTAAGCTTTTCAATTTAAAAATATTCAATTCTCATAATTTAGAGAAAATACGCAATTAGTGAACTTATGTTTACCTTTGACAATCTAATTAACAGTGAAAGCATGGAGGGGGATAAAAGTCACTGAACTTTATGTTAGATACCTGCTTATACTTCAAATAAAATTAAATCACTTATTGAGGCTTGGAAGGAGCTACACTGAGTTTTAGATTTGAACTTCATTCCCAATTATACAACCACTGTTAGGTCTTTGCACTCACTCCTTTTACTGCAAAATGACTAATAATGTAAAATTAGTCACTGATGGGAACTAACAATATGATAAGTGGCCTCTTTAAATTAGCTCTTAGAAAGAAACGTTAATGGATTTCAATGCTTCATTGGATTTTTTTTTCAATTCTTTACATGGGTTGAGAGGTTTTGAAGACTTAAAATGTATTCATTCTGAAGGGCAAAAACTGCATAACTGGATTCTTATAGTTGCAAAAGTTAAATGAATATAATTTTTATGTCCCTTCTGTAAAACAATGACTCCCATATGTTAATTCATAAAAATTCTGTCATTTGTAGTTTTTCTCGTGTTTCAATCCAGAAATATCAAACTATTGCATAAGTATTCATAATCTCTTAAAAGGCCCAATTTAAAATATCCTTAAGGGATTAAAAGTAGACAATAATAATAATTCATGAACTATAGAGAGTTGCAATATACCATCTTTCTAAATTTGTACAATTAAAGGTAAACAAACCCTTAGAATTCCAGCTCTTAATATAAGACACTGCATAGTCCACGTACTAATGTAAGTAGGTAGATTTGTAGCTAATACAATGGCATTTGACTTTGAATTACAATTTTGAACATCATGTGTGGTTTTGAAAAATACACAGCATAGAAATAATAAATTTAACTCCTTTACTTAACTTGAGGAAAACCAGAGATGCATTTGTCCAGCTATCATACCTGCTCAGATATTATTACTTGTTCTTCATTTCACACTAATGTTGAACAGTATTTACCTCATGGGAGAAAGTAAGAAATATGCTCCTTACTTTGTATCTTTCTTGAAAGGTGCCATCTATGAATTCATTCATGAATTCAAATTACTATCCCTGGGATATGTTTCTCTGCAAAGCAGACTACATATGGATCCCTACAGGAATATACTCCCCCACAAGATAATTCTCATTTTCTAAAAATTTCCTTTTCCTGATGGGGTATACTGAAGAAGAAAAGAGAGTGAGGTAATTTTGTTTTGTTTTGCTTTAAATTGAGCATGTATCTCACAAGATAATCTTGAAAAAGCCTACTATTTCCAATTTACAAGTAACACAACTGAAAGAGAAGCTAAGACATACCTTAAACATTCAGAGATTAAAATTAATTAAAATACAATTCTATTAGATCAGAAAACTCTCCTAACCATGCTGTTTTTATTTTATTTTAGCACAGGTAGATAGACTCCATAAACTCTAAATGTCTACACAATTTGAATTTATAAGTCAAAACCAGCATTATTTTTATGACCTAGAAATGAATTTATGAACTGCTAATTGACATTTCTATATAGTACAAATGTTGTATCTTAAGTGGATATATTTTATGTCCCTTTGTAAAAATTTGAGATTAGAATTAGAACACCAATCCAGCTTGAAACTAAAATGCTTTCCTACTATTTTTCTTACTATTGAAATGTCTTTTATAAAAATTACTATAAAGCTGGATTTTCTCTAGTCCAGAATAATTCATTAGTCTGAAAAGTTTTACATAATTGTAATGCAGTTATAGAGATCTGAGGGTATATGAATGTTTCATTAATCCTAGGATCTTGGCTTGAGATCCTAACTCAAACTGAAAACATAAATGAAAACTAAATGAAAAGCTAATCCAATAGGAGAAAAGAAACTTCTCCTCGTCTTAATCTATGAATTAATATCCAGAAATTATTATATCCCCAGTAAATTTATATCTTCCTATATTTTGTAGTAGTTTGCACTGTTTTTTCAAAATATTTATTGCCCCTCCCCAAAAAAACACACACATTAAAACTTCCAAAAGGAAAACTGTCTTTTCCACACACTGATTTCAGGCTTGTCATGTGGCTTGCTTTGTCCAATGGGAGGTAAATTTGAAAAGCTATCATATAGTTTCCCGTTGCTAGTTTCCCTTTGACTTAAAAATGCCAAGAGTCCTAGATAATAGTGGCTTTTTTACCATTTAAGTTCTGGAGTGAAGAGAACATGGAGCTTATGCTGAATAAAAAGCACACTTAGCAACAGGAATTAAACTTTCGTTGTTATAAAACCACTAAAATGTAGTATTCTTTTTTAAAATAGTTGTATGACTTAGCTTCAGCACAGTGATAAAATACCAAATTTATCTGTATCGGACAGCACTTATTTGCATTCTTTTGCATAGTTTATTGACATGAAGTAAAAACTGAATGTCCTCAATTGGAAAGCAAGATGTATATATTTTCTTAACATCATATACACATAAACAATTAAAAGCTAAAATACACTTACATATTGATGACAAATCTGGTTATACTTAGCCTCCTCTTACTTTACTTTGTCGGAATACCTTATGATAAGAAAGAATTGATCACAAACTACATTATTCCCAATACACCACTGAATCTCAGAGAATTAGTAGCTCTCCTTGATTTATGGTTCCAGTCTAATTTCACAGAGCTCTATCAGCAAACTCATTTTGACACTCTTGAACTACAACTATAGCAATTCATTTACAACATTCCCCAAACAAATTTCAACTTCACTAACAGATTGTGCTTGGCTGAAGCTGTTGGTGATTTAAAATAGCTGGAATCCTAATGTAAGTTTATAATGAAATGTCTGACAAGACTCTAACATGGGAGTCTCCTAATGATTTTGTAATGTTTTGACAATCTTGAAAATATGTTTTAAAAAAAGCTAGCAAATGTAAGTTTTCCCTAAGCAAAATATCCCATCTGTTCAAAAAAAAATCTTTCAAAATACCAAAAGCACTAACCACAGTGCAGGAAGAAGGGGTGTGTGATTTCATTTCTTTAAATAAATGATCCTTTGATGAGATAAATAATAGGAATTGTAGAAACCTTTAAAAACTTGAGTTT